AAAATAAATAAATAAATAAATGCTCACCTATAAATCTAAGACCAAAAATGAAATTAACTCAATTTTTTTCAATCATACATATACAGTAATGAAGAACTTTAGCATTGCTATCATAATTTTGTCTTGAGAAAGTACTTAATAACGAGACAAAACTTTTGGCTACCAGCCGACCAATAATAGAACCTGTATTAAATTTCTTCTCCCAACCTGTATTAAGTTTCTGGTTCAGAGGTTACTCGTCATGTCGAAAGCTTTAATATTGGAACATTATGTACTGTATGTCTTTATACCCTACCTCGTAAGAGCATCCTCAATAACACTAAATTTTGCATAAATTTTTAGAATTCAAGAAAGAAAGAAAAAATAAAAGGGAAAAAACGAAAAACAAAAAAATAAAAAATAAATAAACAAAAACAAAACAAAATCTAAAAGACAAAATTTGAAAAAAATAAATAAAAAGAAGTTCCATATTAACGTGTTTGGCTGAACGCTTGTGGTGAGCCTCACGCGACCAGGATGACATTTGTTTTTTGGTGAATCCCACCATCGAGACAAAAATTATATTCTTATCAAAGGATCTCAAATCTACCTCTCCGCTTTCTCTCTCTTTCACTTCAGCAAAAACCTCCTCAAGAACCACTCCAAAAACTCTATTAGGGTTAGTCTAGTTTTCTTATATAATTTATTATTTTTAATCTATTAGATTAAATAATTAATACTGAGAAAACTACATAACAAATAACATTTGACCTAAGAATCATTATTTTAAGTTATAACTCTTTAAAAATATAATTAACGTAGTACAACTTTACAGAAATAATATATAGAGCAACTACCAAAAGCTGCACATTTACTTGGTTTTTTTTTTGGTGATAAAGGCCCGTTAAACACGGGAAAGAAGAACTACCAGACTCTAACCGTACTGGCACCAAAAGCATCCGCCTCAATAAGGGGGATGATGGTGACCGGTGGAGAATTCAGGACGGACGTCCCCCAATCGGCAGCTTGCCCCAAATTTGCAAGGTGGTCCGCACACTTGTTTCCTTCTCTAAGCGTATGAAGGAGCTCGATTCTCTCAAATTTGGAAATAAGAAACTTGCAGTCTTTAACCAGGGTCGAAGCATTCCCCGTCTCCGAGTCAGTGTTGCGCATCACGGCCACCACCACTGCCTCCGAGTCCATTTCGAAAATAGCTTTAGAAACCCCCCTAGCGTTAGCCAGCCGTAGACCCTCCCTTAGGCCCCACAGCTCTGCGGCAAAGCTATTGGTAGAACCAATTCTCGTGGTAAACCCAAAGATCCAGTCACCCTGGTGATCCCTCGCCAACCCCCCCGCACTAGCGAGCCCAGAACCTTTCTTGAAAGCCCCGTCCATATTTATTTTAATCCAACCATGTGCAGGCGGATGCCAAGAAATCCGGGCAGATCTCCCCATGCCCTCGGCTTTTAAGTTTATGGATTTCGTGATCGTGTATCTAGAGAGCTCGGCTACCTTTCGCACTATGCAATCCGGGGTGGTTGCGACCTGGTCGAAGACGCGTTTGTTACGTGCCTTCCAGAGTTCCCAAGTCGTATAAGCAAAAGTTGTTGACCATAACCTCCCTTGTATGATTTCCTTCGTGTTGCAGTTTTTCGAGAGCCAATCCGCAACACCCAGCGGCGCTCCATACTGGAACCCGGTTGGATGGAGAGTGTTCCTCCAGGTACGTTTTGCCAAATCACAATTAAGCAGGATATGGCCGATAGATTCATCATTCTCGCCGCAAGCTGTGCAGCCACCATCGTCCGTCATCCCCCTTCGAAGCCTAACAGCGTTGGTGAGCAGTTTGCCATTTGCCGCCATCCAGAGAAAAACACGACATCGTTCCGACACGCGAGCTTTCCAGGCCCAATCAAAGTCCACCCGGTCCTCTCCAGAACCTGCAATATAAGAAAAGGTGTCTCTTACCGAGAACGTACCTGTTGAGGATCCCGGCCAATAGAGGACGTCATGCGCTTGTGGATTGCATGGAATGGGGAGAGCTCTAATTTTGTTAACCACCTCAGATGGCAGTAGGGCCTTCAACCTGTCGACATCCCACAGGTTGTCAGGTAGAATAAGATCACTCACCTTAGCATTAGCCATTGTTTCCGGGATGTTGACATTTTCCAGCAGCCCTATTGGTTTTTCACCAACCCACCAATCGGACCAGAGGTTAAGGGAATCGCCATTGCCCACCCGCCAAGCAGCGCCTAGTTCAATGGTGGAGCGCCCCCTAAGGACACTTCTCCAGCTAAAGGACGAAGTTTTGGGAGTAGGAACCATAAAGAAATTCCCGTTCTTCATATATTTGTCGTGCATAACACGGACCCAAAGCTTGTCCGGACATGTGTTCATTTGCCAGGCCAGTTTAGCAAGAAGAGCTTCATTGAAATCCATGCACCTTCTGAGGCCCCAACCCCCTGATTCCTTTGGCTTACAAACATCTCTCCAGCTAACCAGGTGCGGTTTCTTTTTGTCGTCTGTATCCCCCCACAGGAAGTCTCTACAAATTTTATCTACTTCGTTGCAAATACCCACCGGGAGCTTGAACACCTGCATGGAGTACACTGGCATCGTAGAGAGCACAGACTGGACGAGGACCTTTCTCCCAGCGAGACTAAGAGTTTCCGCCTTCCACTTGGCCAACCTATTTTTCATCCCTTCAAGGATGTAGCCGAATGACCTTTTTGAGACCCTTTTTTGGAGGATAGGGACACCTAGATATTTTCCCAAGGACTCCGAGACCGTGATATTGGACACTCTCCTAATGTCTCTTTTGATACCTGCACCGGTGTTAGGACTACAAAAGATACTAGATTTAGAAAAGTTGATAGACAAACCTGATTTTTTAGAAAAGTCATCGAGGCAATCCATTATCAAGCGTATCTGTGCTTCTGAGGCTTCCGCGAACAACATTAGATCGTCTGCAAAAAAAAGATGGGACACCCCAGTACCACCTCTCGAGACCACAATTGGCTTCCAGTTGTTCTTACGAACTTTTTCTTGGATGGACCAGGAAAGCTTAACCATGACCAAAATAAAAAGATACGGCGCCAACGGATCACCTTGTCGCAGGCCCCTTCCTGGCGCAAAGGGATCCAATTTTTCACCATTCCAAAGTAAGGAGATTGAGCTCTCTTTGATAGAGAACATGATAATCCTGATAAACTGGAGGGGAAACCCAAAATCGTGAAGGGTGGCTTCAAGAAAATCCCAGTCGATATTGTCATAGGCCTTGTGCAGGTCTAATTTAATCGCCATCAGCCCTTTCTTGCCTTTTTTGTTGTGCATTGTGTGAACAATTTCTTGTGTGAGAATTATATTGTCCAAGGTGGACCGACCCGGCAGGAAGCTATTTTGATAAGGGCCAATTATTCTCTTCATAATAGGCCTCATCTGATTTACCAAGACTTTGGAGATAATTTTAAAGCTGACATTGAGGAGAGTGATTGGTCTGAAATCCCCAGCGTTTTCTGGATTGTCTTTTTTAGGGATTAGAGTAATGTAGGATTCTAACATCTTCACTGGAATCGTTCCCATTGATAACGCGTTGTTGACCAACCCCGACAGATGCTCCTTCACCACTTCCCAAAAGGATTGGTAGAAAGCAGCTTGAATACCATCCGGCCCCGGGCTCCCGAATTTTTTCATCCCCATGACAGCCTTTCTGATTTCATCCGTGTGAGCATGTTTTACCAGGCTACGAGCTTGGATAGGGTTAATTTTTGGGCCCCCATACGACTGATCAGGGAGAAGCACTACATTTCTCCTGCAAAACAAGTCTGCAAAAAACTTGGAGATATGGTCAGCGATAATTTTAAAATCAGAAACCCACTCACCATTAATTTTCAACATTCTGACTCTTGCTCTGTTGCGCCGAAGGAGCACCGATTTATGGTAGAAGGCCGTGTTTCTGTCCCCATCTTGGATCCAGTCTCTTCTAGATTTTTGGAACCAAAATAATTCCTCTTGCTCCAGGACGTTATTAAGCTCGTCAGTAAGTTTTCTCTCCAGAATTTGAAGCCCCTTTGCAGTATCGTAGTAAGTTGATTCTTGTATTCCTTTAATCCTGGCTTGGAGGGTGGATTTGCGCTTGAAAATATTCCCAAACACTTTCTTATTCCAATCTTTGGCTTGGTTTGTAACCTCAGAAATTTTCCCCACCATGTCCAGCGTCGTACTGTTCCACACCTTGCACCAGATGTCCCTAAAGTCTTGTCTATTGAGCCACGCTCCCTCAAAGCGAAAAGGCCTGTTTTCCCTTCTCGGAGGGTCCCCAGCTGAGCTCATAAACTTGACGGGGTGGTGATCCGAATGCGTTCTAGGAAGAATGGCAGCTTTGGCTTCCGGAAACAAAGTTTGCGCGTCTACATTCCAGAGTACCCTATCGAGTTTCCGACGTTGCACCGTACGCCCACCTTCTTGCCTGAACCAAGAGAAACGCACACCCATCGTCCCCAAATCAATGAGGCCGCAATCACTGAACCTATTCACAAAATTCAAGCAACGAGTCGTGTTGACCGTTGCACTGCCCCACTGTTCATTATCATCCTTGATATCATTGAAATCCCCCAACATAATCCAGGGTCCATTGAAAGACCTAGAATAGCTTTTGCACTCATTCCAGAACATCTCCTTAGCAAGATTGTTCGGTCGCACATAAGCGAAGGACACACGAGTGTCTTGACTTCCCACGCCTTTCACAATTCCATGAATCACCTGAGTAGTATGCCCAATGACCATGAAGTTAAAAGTGCTGGATCTCCAAAACAAAACCAAACCACCGGCAAAACCCAAAGGATCGACAACAAAGGACTCATCAAAACCAAGTTTCTCGGCCATTTTTTTGAGTCTTCTAATGTCGTTTGTTTTAGTTTCCAGAAAGCAAAATGCTCCCAACTGTTTATCCGTCATCATAAGCTTGGCGTGGTTAATCGTTTTCTGATTCCCCACCCCCCTACAATTCCATGATGCAAGAATCATTGATTACTCGTGGGACCCAAGGAAGAATTGTTAACGCCTTCCTTACGCGTACCCGAATTAACCAGAAGCCCCAATCCTCTTGAGGAGGAGGCAACGTTATTGCCAGGACCTAGAAGCGGTCCATTCCCAAAAACAAATACCGGTTCCTTGCTGGCGCTAGACCCGGTGTTGCCATTATTGCCCCGAACCTGGGGTGCGGCGGACTTGCCACCTTCTTGGAGGCTGGTTTTCACACCTTTCCTCCTATTGCGAACTTTGGTCTTCCCCTTGTTCCTTGTTTCCTCTTCCAGTTGGATTGGGGTCTCTGTTAAGGCCTCCAAATCCTACAAAAAAGAGAAGGTATTATCGATTGGGACGGAAAAAGAAGGAGGTCCCTTACCAGAGTCTGGACCCCGCGAACGATCTGTCCCCTTCTTCCCGGAGTCCACAGAGCGGTCCTTTCCGGCCTCTTTGGGAGCCGGGTTGATCGTCTCATGTCTCTTTTGCGTAGGCCCCTTCGTCGCTTGTTTCTTATTCTCCGGCGGACTTTTGTTTTTCGGCTTAGGCTGGTTTTGAGGTTTGGCTTTGTTTTTGCGTCCAACAATCATCCAGTCGCCATGCCTCTTGACGGGGATAGCCTGAGTGGGTTGCTCAACATTCATAGTCTCCTCAGAAGCACCTTCGCCAGGCGAGGTCTCCGACGGGACGTCCACTTGCGTAGGTCGATTTATTGGGCAGTCAACAGCACGATGCCCGACCTCTCCACAGTCAAAACATATCGTATGCAACCCTTCAAACTCGACTTTCTGCATTCTGCCTTCCACCTTTACCAGCGCCATCAGCGGTTTGTTGAGGTCGATCTCGACAGCTGCTCTTGCAAAAAGCCCTCTCTGCACCCCCTCAGTTGTGGTGTCCAGTTTTAAAGGCGTGCCAATATTCCGGAGGATGGCTTTGGTAGCATCCTCGATGAAGAATTCCACCGGAAGCCCCGGTAACCGAACCCAAACCGCCATCCTCTCAACCTTGGCCGTTGTAGGATCGAAGTTGGGTCGCCATCTTTGCGCCACCACATATTGGTCAAAGAGTTTCCAGGGTCCATCCACGAGTGCATGGATGCAGTCTTGTTGTTGTTGGAACCGCACGATGAACCACCCTAAACCAAGATCGATGAATTCAACGTGACCTTGGGGGTTCCATAAGCGCAGCATGCGTTGTTGAAACAACGAGAGAGAGATGTATTTGCCTAAGTATTTCACGATGAGAGCATTCTTCCATGGTTTCGCCCACTGTTCCCTTAGAGCTTTGGGAAAGTTGATCACCGGAATTCCCTCTTCGCCTTCCAGCACTTCATCGGATCTGTCATCCTCGATAATAATTTCATCATCAAACCAGTTGGTTTCGTCCTCCCTTCGTGGCAGATCAGGTCCCCATTTTGGGTGGTCAGTCATCGTTTCCGCGAAAGATCGCTTCATCATTCTAACCCGTTTGAAAACTCTCCCAGTCCCCTCCATCGGAGCTGACTGCCCCCCGTCAGTCAACGGTGGCGCATCGGCTTCGGCCTCCATGGCCAAGCCCAGATCCGCAAGGCGGGAAAACTTTCCTAAAAAAGACCCTCTTGCCCTAGAGCCGTTGAGAGGATTATTTTTAGAGAGAGAAGAGTTGATGGAAAATTAATATAAGATGAGCAAACCATCAGTTCGATTGCACATTTACTTGGTACAAAAACCAAAAAGCAGAACACTGCTTTAAAACAATAAATTAAATTCAACGAAAGTTGAAGCAATTAAGATGTATATTCATTGTATTAATTGTTGTCTTGATATTTAAGATAAAAAGAGAAATTGAATTGTAAAATTGTTTAGACAAATATTTATATATTTATTATATAGACAAACTAATATATCTCTTTAATTTATGGAAAACCTCACAACTTCACATAAGATTACAAGAAGGTAAAATTGAACAACTCAAATCAGAAAGGTCAATAAGTAACTTTCACAAAAAGTCAAACTTACAACTCATGATTATCAAATCAATTGTTGGACCAACTCCGATATGAGTTACGCAAAACTAAAATAACCTCTAATTATGCATCAAGGAGGCTGGTGATTTGAGAATCTCATGTGAAGATATATTCCATTAAACGGTTACACGTGTTTGTCATGTTCTAAATTCTCATTTCACCCCTACTTTCATCTTTGTAATTAGTGCTCCTAACATGTGCAAAATTTAAGACATAACTAACAATTGCCTTGACATGAGGGATTAAAATAGTTCCTATAATGCATATAATAATTAATTGTGACATTGTCTCAGCATTTAATTTTAAAAAATTAATTTGATCATTCCTATTTATTCTAAGAGCAATTACTTAACCAAATTAAACCATCCCAGTAACTTCTACAATTATCATTCCCTATTAGTTACTCTTTGACGTAATATCTTTTTATCTGATACATACATTCCTTATTAACTCAAAGTATGGATCTAATCGAGCTTAGCCAAACAATAAAATTTTTGCCATAGCCTGGCCTATATCCCAAAACATTTAATTTTATGAGAGTATGCGAATGCACGACAGGTTAAGACTGCTATGATCAAGTATGCAATGCACTTTAAAAGAGATATATACTTGTACAAAAATGAGAGTATGAGGGTGAGGGTGAAATGTGTTAAGGGATGTGCTTTTCTTTGCCATTGTAGTTGGGAAGAAAGATATAGATGCTTCCAACTGAAAACATGCATACTTGAACATAGGTGCAACTGTAAATTAAATACAAGTTGAAAATGGTAACTCATAAATGGTTGGAAGAAAAAATATGAGAATATAATTATAAAAGACCCAACCATGTAACATCCCAAGCTTAGGAATACTATTCAGACTGACTTGAAGATTAATGTGACAAGTTGTTTTAAAGAGGGTATATGAATCTAGGATATTCAAAACAGTTTAAGAGAATCAAAGACTATGCTCAAGAATGTTTGAATTATATATAATCCTAGAAGCACTATTGTTATCAAAACTACTAGGTAGTTCCAGAAGCACCTTGTACATCTCAAACGATTTTTGTTTGTTTTCAAGTAATGAAAAGTGAGTTTCTATTTGGGTGTATACATAATTGGTTCAGATGGTTGTTTCCTGAAAGGGGTAATGAAGGGTGAGATCTTAGTTGCTGTAAGGAGGAATCATAATAACCAGATGTTTTCAATAGTTTGGGCAATTGTTGAGATAGAAAACACATATTCTTGGATATAGTTTTTACAGCTATTGGTACAGGACTTGAGTATCAACAACAGCTTTCACTAGACAATAATTTCATATCAACAAAAGGTAACTTTAAAGTGATTTTTTCTGAATTAGGCACTTTCTGTTTTATTTCAGTTTCAAAGTAATTTTATGTTTGTGTACAGATTAGTCAATGTGATCCAAGAACTTCTAACAAATGTTGAAAATATGAACTGTGCTAGACATATACATGCTAATTGGAGCAAGAAACACAGAGGCAAATATTGAAAATGGATTTTTAGATGTGTAGAAATGCAACAACTAAAGAGCAGTTCAATGCAATGGTTGATCTTGAGCAATTAGGTTTAAAAGATGCACAAGCTAAAGTTGATTTGGCCAACTATGTGACACCCCAAAAATCCACACTCCAATCCATGAATTAATTGAGTAATTAATTCTATTTCTCTTGAGGAATTGATTCCTAAAATCCTGATTTTTAATACTCAAGGACTAGAATTTGACTAGTCAATCTTTAAGTTGTGTTGTACCTTGTGCTTAGAGAGGAGTTCCCTTGTTCCTTACACTTTCTAAGAGTTAGTAAGGGTATCCTTGTCTTTTCACCAAGAGCTAGTGTTGTAATCTAAACCTAGAAGACTTCTTCATTTCATTCCTTACAATTCCTAGAAAAATATCTCTACCTTCTCTCTAGAAAAGAAGAGTAGCTTGTTCTTCAAGCCAAGTGAGACCTTTGTCAAGATTCCAAGTTTTGCTTCCAAGATTCAATCTTTCATCTATTTGGGCATCTAGAATGGTAAGATCTAAGCTTGTCTAGTCTTTTTGGTTCCATCTTAGTTGTCTTTTTCTTAAAGGTAGGATCTTTATGATCTTTTGGTTTGATCTTGAAGTGGGTTTGGCTAGTGAGCTTAGTGGAGAGCTTGTTGTGGTGTTAAGAGAAGTCTTTTGGTCTTCAAGAGGTAACCCATTCTCTACAAAACCTATTTTGCTTACCTATATGTGATTTCTTGGATTCTACTTGTGTTTTTGCTATGAAATGTGAGGGTTTATGCATTTATCTTGTGATATTGCATATCTAGAGCTTGTGTTTAGGATTCCTTTGTGCCATTGCTTGGCATGTTCCTTGGTTCAAGTCATTTTGTTGTGTTTGGTGAGATTTGGCATGTTTTGGACTTGAATTTGTGTTTGGAGGAGAAAATCCCCGAAGGGATTTGTTGTGGAACAGGTGTGTTCCCGCGGGCGGAACGGCGGGCGGGGCACCACCCGCCGGCCTACCCGCGGGTACAGCCTCGTGGGATATTGTTCCCGCGGGCGGGACCACGGGTGGGGCACTACCCATGGGTCCACCCGCGGGTACATGGTTGTGGTGATGTCGGGATTTGTTCCCCGTGATTTGGTTGTCGTGGTGTTTGATCTTTTGGCTTCCCGTTGTTCTTTTGTGGAACTATTTGAGTGTCTTCTTGATGTTTCGTAGGTCTAGAGCTATATGGTAGGTATCCATGTAAGATCTTTGGTGTCTTGAATCGTGCTAAGTGTTCAACATTGTGTTTCGTTGAACCAAGAGGTGTCTTGTGTGTTCCTCGGAACTATCTTGAGTTTCCCCGTTGTTAAGCATGCTAGTTCGTTGTCTTAATGCTAGCGTGAGTGTTGTTCGTACCTTCTGTTTGGTTGATGATAACTTGCGTTATTCATCGTTGTTGTCGTTGGGCAGTGACCTGTTCCTTGATTGAGTGTGTTTCATACCTTCTTTGCAATCCGTTGATTGATTCGTGTGAGTGGTGGTGCGTGTGTGGCTCTACCTGGATTGCACGATTAGTGGTATGGGACGCTAGTCACCAAGGTATTGCAGCGGTCCTCGCGGTGGCCGTGACGTGATTATGGAGTTGTGTTCCTTTGAGAAAGGTTCACGTGATTGGGGGATAACATTGTGTTATCCGGGCATGTGTTGCCGTGATTAGTGGTGGTTCGTTGGTGGTCTGTTGGTGGGGGACGACGGTCCCGACGGAATAAGGTTGGACTTGGCTGTACAAGGGATTCTGGAGGTAATGGTTGGAAAGAAGATACAAGGTTGGGGGTAGCCATAAGGTTGGAACAGGGCATAAGGAAGGCATACCAACTCGCGATGGGTGATGTTGCGAGGGCTTTTAAAGCCGGTGTTGTGTGATCTTCTCTCGTGACGTGTGTAGTCACGGAGGCTTGTGGTGTTTTGGCATGTGTTGCCGTTGGGTGAGTCTTTATCCTTGTGTGTGGTTAACCTTTGTGGTTGGGATGTGTTCCCGGTGTTATCCTTGTGAGTGGTGAGTCTTGTGTTGTCTTTTGATCTTGGCTTTTGACTTATATATATGTATTCCGTTGGTTTTTATATCTTATATCTACCTATTTATGATACTTAACGGTATTGGTGGGTTACCAGCATTATTCGCTGACAGGGCGTCGCCCCCATGTTTATCTTTGTATCTTTCAGGTGTTGAGTAGTCGAGCGCGATGTCTAGAGCCTGGTAGCTTAGCACCTGTATCTTTAGCACCGCTGTGTTTTTGTGGTCTGCGCGCCAATGGTTTTAGATTATTTTTAGATTGATGTTTTGGGTTAGTGTGATACACTTGCAGATTGTCGCCTTAGCATTACCTAGTGTGGTATACGTGGCATAACATCCCTGTTTGGATTTCTTTTATCCAGTTTCCGTTTATCTTCCGCTGTGCTAGTTTTGTTGTTAATCTGCATGTGTTAAGACTTGTTTTTAGGTCTTGTTTTTGGGGGGTGTTACAAACTATCCTGCAAAGTTCTGGAGCAAGCAATTTGTGAGAACCGAAGTCAAATGTGATTTTGTAGATAACATGTGTGATGCATTTAATGGAACAATTGTCAAGGCAAGAAGAAAACCAATAATCACAAGTATACCTTGTGCACATGCATTGCGTGCCATATTTGATAAAGACAAAGATCCAGAACATTACATTCATGAATGCTATTCCAAGGATGTTTACAAGAAGATTTACGGTCAGAATATCTAATCACTTAATGGCGAAATTATATGGCCTAGGACAAATTGTGAAGAAAATATTGGCCCCTTTACCAAGGCCAATGACTGGTAGACCAAAGAAAAAGAAAAACAAAAACCAAAACCTGTGAGCCTAATGAACCCCTAGTTGGGAAAATTTCAAGGCAAGATCGAATTAAGGCATGTTCTATTTGTAAACAAAAGGGACATTCATAGAAAGTTTTCCCTTCCAAAAGTTCAATGTCAACGGACCTCAACTATTATTGTTTCTACTTCTGCTTCAGCTTCAGGTTTTGGTTCTAGGACATCTTTACAAAGAAAAAGG